CGAAGGTAAAACATTTTTCTGGATTTTTGTGAAAAAGGCATTAAAAGGGGTCAAATTATATGTTTTTGGGGTCGGTGATTACGAATTTGTTATCAGTTCTCAATTTTAATCAGCCAGAAAGAACTTAAGTAAAAAAAAAAAAAATTGAACTTTGTGTCAACTTAAAGTCAAAAGTGTTACTTGAGCACAAAACTCAATAGTATCATTCTGCATAGATCTACATAAAATTGTTTTAATGATTTGATAACAATTTTTTTAAGATTTTAAGTGTTTTTTGTTAAAATATACGCAATCTGCGAAAACACAGTTTTCCGGCTATTAAAAAAAAACTGTAGTGCCGAATTATTTTTCCGTTTAATATGTTATGGATACATATGAGTTCCAACTACTGGCAAATTTTCAACCCAAAGGTCTTAAAATTACGGCTAAAAACCCCGAAAAACAAAAGAACCTGTACCCCCCCTAGGGGGGTGGGCATTGGGTTAAATTCAAATTTGATATAACTGACGTGCGCGGGCATACTAAATAAATATTTCTTATAAATTTCAACTCGATCCGACTCTTTTTCTCGAAGCTATAGCCAGTAAAAGTTCTAACTTAAAAACTCGTACGGTTTTTTTTTTGTTTTTTCAACTTTCGCCTGTGAAGAGTTAAACTTTTTCAACTTTTACCTCCCCAAAGTACCAACTAGATGAAAATTGCGATTTATAGAGTTGCTATTCGAAGGAATTGGTCCAGTATTAAAGAAGTTACAGTGTATACAGATAAAAAAAAAACATACATCAGAGTAAAACCAATACCTTCTCGCTTTGCATCGAAGGTAAAACATTTTTCTGGATTTTTGTGAAAAAGGCATTAAAAAGGGTCAAATTATATGTTTTTGGGGTCGGTGATTACGAATTTGTTATCAGTTCTCAATTTTAATCAGCCAGAAAGAACTTAAGTAAAAAAAAAAAAAATTGAACTTTGTGTCAACTTAAAGTCAAAAGTGTTACTTGAGCACAAAACTCAATAGTATCATTCTGCATAGATCTACATAAAATTGTTTTAATGATTTGATAACAATTTTTTTAAGATTTTAAGTGTTTTTTGTTAAAATATACGCAATCTGCGAAAACACAGTTTTCCGGCTATTAAAAAAAAACTGTAGTGCCGAATTATTTTTCCGTTTAATATGTTATGGATACATATGAGTTCCAACTACTGGCAAATTTTCAACCCAAAGGTCTTAAAATTACGGCTAAAAACCCCGAAAAACAAAAGAACCTGTACCCCCCCTAGGGGGGTGGGCATTGGGTTAAATTCAAATTTGATATAACTGACGTGCGCGGGCATACTAAATAAATATTTCTTATAAATTTCAACTCGATCCGACTCTTTTTCTCGAAGCTATAGCCAGTAAAAGTTCTAACTTAAAAACTCGTACGGTTTTTTTTTTTGTTTTTTCAACTTTCGCCTGTGAAGAGTTAAACTTTTTCAACTTTTACCTCCCCAAAGTACCAACTAGATGAAAATTGCGATTTATAGAGTTGCTATTCGAAGGAATTGGTCCAGTATTAAAGAAGTTACAGTGTATACAGATAAAAAAAAAACATACATCAGAGTAAAACCAATACCTTCTCGCTTTGCATCGAAGGTAAAACATTTTTCTGGATTTTTGTGAAAAAGGCATTAAAAAGGGTCAAATTATATGTTTTTGGGGTCGGTGATTACGAATTTGTTATCAGTTCTTAATTTTAATCAGCCAGAAAGAACTTAAGTAAAAAAAAAAAAAAATTGAACTTTGTGTCAACTTAAAGTCAAAAGTGTTACTTGAGCACAAAACTCAATAGTATCATTCTGCATAGATCTACATAAAATTGTTTTAATGATTTGATAACAATTTTTTTAAGATTTTAAGTGTTTTTTGTTAAAATATACGCAATCTGCGAAAACACAGTTTTCCGGCTATTAAAAAAAAACTGTAGTGCCGAATTATTTTTCCGTTTAATATGTTATGGATACATATGAGTTCCAACTACTGGCAAATTTTCAACCCAAAGGTCTTAAAATTACGGCTAAAAACCCCGAAAAACAAAAGAACCTGTACCCCCCCTAGGGGGGTGGGCATTGGGTTAAATTCAAATTTGATATAACTGACGTGCGCGGGCATACTAAATAAATATTTCTTATAAATTTCAACTCGATCCGACTCTTTTTCTCGAAGCTATAGCCAGTAAAAGTTCTAACTTAAAAACTCGTACGGTTTTTTTTTTGTTTTTTTCAACTTTCGCCTGTGAAGAGTTAAACTTTTTCAACTTTTACCTCCCCAAAGTACCAACTAGATGAAAATTGCGATTTATAGAGTTGCTATTCGAAGGAACTGGTCCAGTATTAAAGAAGTTACAGTGTATACAGATAAAAAAAAAACATACATCAGAGTAAAACCAATACCTTCTCGCTTTGCATCGAAGGTAAAACATTTTTCTGGATTTTTGTGAAAAAGGCATTAAAAGGGGTCAAATTATATGTTTTTGGGGTCGGTGATTACGAATTTGTTATCAGTTCTCAATTTTAATCAGCCAGAAAGAACTTAAGTAAAAAAAAAAAAAATTGAACTTTGTGTCAACTTAAAGTCAAAAGTGTTACTTGAGCACAAAACTCAATAGTATCATTCTGCATAGATCTACATAAAATTGTTTTAATGATTTGATAACAATTTTTTTAAGATTTTAAGTGTTTTTTGTTAAAATATACGCAATCTGCGAAAACACAGTTTTCCGGCTATTAAAAAAAAACTGTAGTGCCGAATTATTTTTCCGTTTAATATGTTATGGATACATATGAGTTCCAACTACTGGCAAATTTTCAACCCAAAGGTCTTAAAATTACGGCTAAAAACCCCGAAAAACAAAAGAACCTGTACCCCCCCTAGGGGGTGGGCATTGGGTTAAATTCAAATTTGATATAACTGACGTGCGCGGGCATACTAAATAAATATTTCTTATAAATTTCAACTCGATCCGACTCTTTTTCTCGAAGCTATAGCCAGTAAAAGTTCTAACTTAAAAACTCGTACGGTTTTTTTTTTTGTTTTTTCAACTTTCGCCTGTGAAGAGTTAAACTTTTTCAACTTTTACCTCCCCAAAGTACCAACTAGATGAAAATTGCGATTTATAGAGTTGCTATTCGAAGGAACTGGTCCAGTATTAAAGAAGTTACAGTGTATACAGATAAAAAAAAAACATACATCAGAGTAAAACCAATACCTTCTCGCTTTGCATCGAAGGTAAAACATTTTTCTGGATTTTTGTGAAAAAGGCATTAAAAGGGGTCAAATTATATGTTTTTGGGGTCGGTGATTACGAATTTGTTATCAGTTCTCAATTTTAATCAGCCAGAAAGAACTTAAGTAAAAAAAAAAAAAATTGAACTTTGTGTCAACTTAAAGTCAAAAGTGTTACTTGAGCACAAAACTCAATAGTATCATTCTGCATAGATCTACATAAAATTGTTTTAATGATTTGATAACAATTTTTTTAAGATTTTAAGTGTTTTTTGTTAAAATATACGCAATCTGCGAAAACACAGTTTTCCGGCTATTAAAAAAAAACTGTAGTGCCGAATTATTTTTCCGTTTAATATGTTATGGATACATATGAGTTCCAACTACTGGCAAATTTTCAACCCAAAGGTCTTAAAATTACGGCTAAAAACCCCGAAAAACAAAAGAACCTGTACCCCCCCTAGGGGGGTGGGCATTGGGTTAAATTCAAATTTGATATAACTGACGTGCGCGGGCATACTAAATAAATATTTCTTATAAATTTCAACTCGATCCGACTCTTTTTCTCGAAGCTATAGCCAGTAAAAGTTCTAACTTAAAAACTCGTACGGTTTTTTTTTTGTTTTTTCAACTTTCGCCTGTGAAGAGTTAAACTTTTTCAACTTTTACCTCCCCAAAGTACCAACTAGATGAAAATTGCGATTTATAGAGTTGCTATTCGAAGGAATTGGTCCAGTATTAAAGAAGTTACAGTGTATACAGATAAAAAAAAAACATACATCAGAGTAAAACCAATACCTTCTCGCTTTGCATCGAAGGTAAAACATTTTTCTGGATTTTTGTGAAAAAGGCATTAAAAAGGGTCAAATTATATGTTTTTGGGGTCGGTGATTACGAATTTGTTATCAGTTCTCAATTTTAATCAGCCAGAAAGAACTTAAGTAAAAAAAAAAAAAATTGAACTTTGTGTCAACTTAAAGTCAAAAGTGTTACTTGAGCACAAAACTCAATAGTATCATTCTGCATAGATCTACATAAAATTGTTTTAATGATTTGATAACAATTTTTTTAAGATTTTAAGTGTTTTTTGTTAAAATATACGCAATCTGCGAAAACACAGTTTTCCGGCTATTAAAAAAAAACTGTAGTGCCGAATTATTTTTCCGTTTAATATGTTATGGATACATATGAGTTCCAACTACTGGCAAATTTTCAACCCAAAGGTCTTAAAATTACGGCTAAAAACCCCGAAAAACAAAAGAACCTGTACCCCCCCTAGGGGGGTGGGCATTGGGTTAAATTCAAATTTGATATAACTGACGTGCGCGGGCATACTAAATAAATATTTCTTATAAATTTCAACTCGATCCGACTCTTTTTCTCGAAGCTATAGCCAGTAAAAGTTCTAACTTAAAAACTCGTACGGTTTTTTTTTTGTTTTTTCAACTTTCGCCTGTGAAGAGTTAAACTTTTTCAACTTTTACCTCCCCAAAGTACCAACTAGATGAAAATTGCGATTTATAGAGTTGCTATTCGAAGGAATTGGTCCAGTATTAAAGAAGTTACAGTGTATACAGATAAAAAAAAAACATACATCAGAGTAAAACCAATACCTTCTCGCTTTGCATCGAAGCTAAAAGGATAATGTACCCTAATTTTAAATGTGTGTCCATGATCATCACGACCACTCGGGAAGCGCTTATGCATTTATGTTTATTGATTTTTCCAGATAAAAATGAAATTATTCGGTATATTAGTATCATTTATCTGCGTAAATGTTTTGGCAGGTGAACTTATAAGTAAGTATTTTATTTTCATACTTACCCACAAAGTAGTTAAAAATATAAAATAATATTTAACTTGCGTTTACAGCGGATTATATAAGGACGGTTGAAAATACAAGTAAGTAATATATTCTAACCATACAGACTAACTCTGCGAGTTTTTTAATTTTACTATTTTTGTACATAACTTTTATTTGTATACATATCTACTTTTAAAAATATTTACTACAGACACGCAAATTCAGAATTCTGCAGAAAGTAAGATACTAATTAATATACTAATATATAATAGCTGTTGTGCAATAATTGTCTTATTATCAAATTATTTGTAAATAAAAAATAAATAAATAATTATATTCAAGACCGCACAATCCACGCCGCACATGCATAATTGTGGTAATTTAATTTGGCTTTCATGACACAGCACTTCTAAAAATTGACTTACAAAAATGCTACCTATATCACCTGAAAGCTATAAACTTTAACTGTGTCTAAAAGTTAAGATTTTTCAAAAAATTGCCAACACTAAATAAACGGATGAAGTGGCATTCTCTTAAAGTGGTAGTTTTATATATTCGGTTGGATCTTATGCATTAAAGCACGATGGGCACGAGCCGTCACTGAAAATTATTATAATTTACTATGAGCCCACTTGACTTTAAGAATGGACCACAAAAGGTAGTACCCCCCTCCCAATAGGGTGATTTGCCAAATGTGTGGTGTAATTTTTTCTAATTTTTTCTAATTATTTTTATATTCATTTTGATTATATTTGGAACTTATCTATAGGTCAAACCATTATTTGTTTGTTTAGATTTGGAGGAATTAATTACACACTTGATAGATACAAATGACGATACACCAGGTAATAATAAATATGTGATAACAAAAAAAAAAATTGGTTATAGAAAAAAAGTATACAAAAACAACAAAAATATATCTTCGACCCTTTCACTGCCATTGTGTTTTACACACTGCAACACGTCCCAACCGTCACTATACTGGTAACCTGTACTTCTTCATTTGATTGTGGCATAATAGCACGTCCAGGACAGTGAAAGGCTTAAGACTAATGTTCAGGGATAAAAATCGTATTTCATCTTATTCTACTTCCCCGTATGATTCATTCAGCCATTGTCATTTCATAAGGTTTCAAACTAATAGAGCTAACCATTTCATTTCATATTTCTAACACTCATGTTATTTTTCTTAACATTTCTACTCTAGACTGTAATAATAAACTAGAAAATAGAAAATTATATTCATTAATTTATGTATAAATAATTCTAGGAGATATTATAGAAGAAATGATTCTTTGGTTCACTGTACCGGGTAATAATTTGAATAGCATTTTTTGGAAATATTTTCGCATAGTCGTTTGATAATCATTAAGTATACAAAGGTTTCACTTTAATTTTAGAACTTGCAGATACTAGCACCTCTGGCCGTATAAAACGTAATCAATTCTCTCTTTTATGTTCCAAATTTTATATTGATTATGCTTCACACAGAATTATATGCACAATATTAATTTATATTACAAGAAATTATATTTTTTTTATTTTCAAATTTAGGTTCCATAAGGGTACAAGTCGATTTTCAGAAAACAATATTTAAGACAATAGGTAAATAAAAAATTTTTACATTTTTTAGTATACAATTTTCAAAATTGATAATTAACTAAATCGAAAAAAAGTCACTTATAATGTTTATGATAAAAACCTATTTCAAAGTTATATAAACACAAATTATCAAAATCAGGCTATTAAACGCCTTGAGAAGAAAATGTGAACAAATAACAAAAAGGTTAGCTTGTTACATTTTCCATGGATTTCAAACAATTTTTAATTATACGGTATATAAAAAACTATATCAAGAAATAACATATCACAAGAACAGGACAAAATAGATAAACATAGCTAATTAGATTATTATAAAATTCAAATTCATTGTGCGGAAGCATTCATTCATAAGTTGCTAGACAATAATTTTATATTGATACTGAATCAATAAAAATAGTAATCTGATTTTTAGAGTGACGGTTACGGATAAATATAACAACTGGGTTTAAGGAACTGTATAATTGTTTTACATTTTCGTTACAGGTACTCCTATGCCTGCTGATACAACCAAAAGTAATTACAAAGTTAGAAGTATACTTAACTTATGGCCTGTTTGAAAGATATAGTTTGCTTTATGTATTCTTTTATTCATTTAATATTTACAGTAAAGTAAACTTTTAGTTGAGGAGACATAATAACTTATCTTCTTATTTAGTAATCAAAACCCTAAGATTGGTTTTACAGCATTCTTTCATACTCATACCTCATTGCATCGTTCTTTCTAACATATATCTTTTGCAGCTGTTGCTGCTCTATTGATTTTATTTTTTAGTACTCTTTATGTCCTTTTACCAAAATCATTAGTTTTTGTATTTCCTTCTTTCTTCGACTAATTCAAGGATATCCTCAATAATCTATAGCTTTTGTTTAGTAGGTGCTCTACTTTTCAATTTTTCGTTGGCTGCTTTTTGTACTGCTTCTTTAATTATATTCCATTGATTAAATTTCATTGAAAAAAAAAAAATTGAGCGAATACAGAATGCACTTTTAGCATTGGTCGCTATTGTCATAAAAATAGAGCAACCTCTTCACGAGTATATTGCTGTCCACATTTTCCTTAACATTTCTACCTTGGCCGATCTTCGGACCAACGCAGATCTTTATTTCATTTAAACAACCCTTTTAGGCTCTATCAATGCTACAGATACTCTAATCACCATTTCTTTTCACGTTTCTTCCCACCCTTTTTGTACTCGTCCTAATGAGTACAATTTTTATGCGTTCAATTTTTAAACAACAAAATAAGTACGAATATATTAATAAATATTATATTTTCAACATACATTTATGCAGGTATTGAAACTTTAAAATTGCCCGACCTTGGAAGGACGAGAAGAGGTCTTACTGGAAATGCTATTATAAATGTGCTTACCAAAAAATTAGGTGATTATAAATATAAAGTTTTAATGTTAATTCTCTTTTAATAACATCAATTTTTTTACAGGGTTATTCATTATAAATAACACGATCAATTTTTTTTAAACTAATTTAAAATATGTGGTTTTTCTATTTTGAGACACGTTATTTTATTTATTCTACAATATTACTTATTAAAAGTTTCTTGTAGAGATCTAACAACAAGAATAATATGCTGAAGACGTTTATTGGTCGAGAACTAGTTTTGGATAGTTACTTTTTTAGTAGTTTTACTGAAGTTTAAAATTTAGGAAGAGAAGTGGAATGCCGTAGAGTATTTCTTCCAGATTATAATAATACCAAATTTCACCCTTTATCCCATTCTGTTTATAACTTTGAAAATAACTATCCACAAATGGTTAAACCAGTCAAAATTATCGGAAAACCTAAACGGAAAACTATCTTATTTATTCTCATAATTATTTCAACTATTTTGATTACTTAGTTAGCTTTTAATTTGAATAATTGGCTTTAATCGTTTTATTGGCAAAACGTTCACTTGACTAGTTATTTTGAATAATTTTACTAACCATTCATATAAGTTTGTTCGCTGTGAAAACAACACATAATTTTAAAAAATTAACATCCCTTTCTCCATCCACATCCTTACCCAAACCACACCTCATCGCTACCCCAACCCCATCCTCATCCTCAACCTCGACCTGGACCTCATCCTTGACCTCAGCCTCATCCCAATTCCCACCCCCATCCACAATACCACCCCCACCTCCAACTCTATTCCCATCCCTCATCACCACTCCTATCTTATATCTCTATTATCTTATCAGATAAATTAGCTGATTTTTTCGTTATGGTAACCGGTGTCGACTGTTGGTGTTGATTGTAAATGCTGTCGATTTTTCCGTTTATGTGCCAAAGCAAAAACATAAAAATTTCAAAAAAAAAAAAAACGGTAATAAAGAAGAGTATAGAAAAAAACTAACACTCTAAACAACCATGACTATATTTTAATAAAAAAAAATCTAAACAAATTCGAGAACATCTTTTTTAGGGTAAGAGACTTGCAGGGTAAGTTTCAAAAAGATCTGACGGGGGGGGGGGGGGCTTCTCTAAACGTTCATTAATATTTAGCGTATTGACCAATATGCATATTATATAAAATTGTAATACTTGTATTATTTAGAGTTATGTCTTTAGTTTTTGTTATTTCATAATATTTACTAATATACTTTAAATATTTAAATTCTCTTAAAAAGAATAATTTGCCGAAAATTTTGACTGGTTGAGAACTAGTTTTGGATAATTAATTTTTAAGTAGTTTTACTCTTAAGTTGAAAATTTAGGAAGGGAGGTTGAATGCCGTAGAGTGATGCTTGCAGATTGTAATAATAATAATCTGGGTTGTTTATTATAAATAACACGATCAATTTGTTTTTAACTAATTGTGAGTTTGAAGCTTTGGGTTTTTTCAATAATTTATTTTTATATTTTTTTCTAGAGCAATAAGCAATAACATTTCTGGAAATGTTTACTGGTCGATAACTCGTTTTGGATAATAAGTTTTAACTTAATTTTACATTCCGTTTGTTCTGGGACATAATAATTATCCCCAAATAGTTATCGACCAGTCATATTTATCTTATTCTTACTAATTAATTCAAATTTTTTTATTCCTGTAGTTGCTTTTTCCCATTTTTCGACTTTTTATGAATTTTTACTTTTTTTTGGGGGGGTTTTTCTAAGCTTTTTTATGGGGACACCGGTTTGAAATTTATACATTTAGCAAAAAAAAATTTCAGCTCTCTAAAAAAAATATTAAAAATAATCTTAAATTTTGGGGAACACATTAAAAAGACCTTTATAAATTATAAACTCATTTTTAATGTCTGTTACACAAAAAAAAAAAAATCAAAATTTTTTTTTTAAGCTTTTTTTTTTATTAATTTATATAAATGATATATAATTGTATTACTTGTTTTATTTACGTTTAGTAATTGAGTATTGCACTTAAAAGCAAAATAGTGACTAGTAAGCTAAATTTAGCAATTTTTAACAACTATTCTCTTTTATTTTAGCTGAAACGATAAACACTGTTGAGTACGCCTTGTCTCTTCAAAGAAGTTGTAATTTGATAGCAATGTGGATTAGTCTAATAACGTCTAAAAAAATGGATTGTACAATAGACTCCAATTATAAGTATTGTAAAGTATTAGATGATAACAATAATTATGTAAAATACATGTCACTTGAGAACGGCTATTATCAAGTCGATAAAAAGGGTAATCAAATAGGAGAATTAATTGTACAGCTACGCGACAAGTCCAGTTTTCCACGATTTGAGAAATAGTTAAGAACTACTCCATTTTAGGCTAGTAATCAAATCTATATTTCTTTAAAATTATAAATAAATAATTTTTGCACATTACACTAACATCCGAATTGTCAATTAATATAATGTTTTTTTCTAAAATAAACGGTTTTGTTCACGAATATAAACACATATTTTGTTGTTTTTTAATTATTATTATTATTATTGTGTACCTTTTATTTTGACCGAGTTTAGGTTTTATGGCCTAGATTGGTTACCTACGAGGAGAAGGATGATAGGCTCCCACTAGACTGTTTTATTGTCCTAGGGTATCAACAGGCCAATATTGAAGTCTTAAGAACTATTATATTTGTTATAGAATTTGTTTGGGTGTTCCTTAATAAACAATTACAAACATCGTTTTAGCCATGACAAAGTAGATAGGTATGATGTCAAAATACGAGTTTATGAATCGAATGTGCAGAAATGGCGATAGATTTTGTCCGCCTGTGATTGGCTATAATTATATCTTATCAGGAAATTATATGCCCGCCAAAACTTTAGTTTGTAAATTATATATATAATAAATAGAACTAAATTAAAGAATAATTAACTATTAAGACTCTATAAAGAGTATATTATTTTCAGAGTTTACTGTTCAGTGTGCCGTACTTATTTTGTATACTTAAATATATTGTAAAATGCCACTTTGTGTTTTTGATGGATGTTTAAGTGGTAGTAGACGCAAACGTCTCATCAAAAATCCACACATCCATCTTCACAAATTTCCTTTAAATGAGGAATTGAGAAAAAAATGGGAATTGAGAATTCAGTCATAAACCTATTAATGTAGATAAAGGTAACAAATATTAAATATTTAGTTTTTCTCGAGATAAAAGGAGTTGGTGTTGTTGTAGCTTTTGTATGTTCATTACATTTCAATGCTAATGACATTGTTCAGAAACCCCCCCCCCTGCTTGTTAATATACTATATCATTATCTATAATTCCACAACTACTCTAAATTTATTCGGTACTTCAACGAGACATGAAAATGCTCTTTCGTGGTTGCAGACTCAGCTGAAAAACTTTTCGGTTATTTATATTGTTTTTGTACAATGTGAATTCAATTGTTCACATTTTTGTTTTTACCCCTCACATTTAAAGAGGTAGTCTTATATTTATATTATAACTCTAATATGGGTTAGACCGTTGGACACATTAAAACGATTTTTTCTTAAACAAGTGTTTTGCGCTATAATTATATATTATTTATAAAAGTTCACACTGTATGCATTGGTGTTTGTTGTTTTATTGTTCTGAATCACACAAAAACATGTTAATGCAAAGTTACTGTTTTTGCAAAAACATACGTTCCTATTTAAAAACCCAAATGCGATACTTGTTTTTCATATAAGGGTTGAAGATAAAAAATATTCTAAATATTGAAAAATATAGAAAAATATGTACCTACAAGTATAAGAAAAAAATAATTTTTTTAAGTATCTGAAAGTGTTAATTAAAAATAAATTTCAAATATAACGCAAATCCTAATCCTAATAATACCGGATAAAATTAATGCAATCAATTGTCTGACTTAAAATTATTTTAATTGATGAGCAACCCTTTGAATAGCGTAAATAAATTATAACATATTGGAATTTGTGTGCTGTCTGGGTAATTATGAGTTAAATTCACAGATACAAAGTAAATTTAATTTTAAGCAAATTTTTTTTTTGCTTTTAACTGAACGTAGTCGTAATTTTACATAAAAAAAATTTTTTTGTAGTTTCTTACTGCTTTGCTTATAAAAGTTCACACTGTATGCATTGGTGTTTGTTGTTTCTCAAAATATAATGAATATTTTTAAAATTATTTTTTTCTTCACTTCTAGGTGCTTATATATTTGTCTATTGTTTAAACACTGAGAGAAATTTTAATTATATCACATATACGTATAAGAAGTATGGACGTTTTTTCCGAATGAGAACTTATGGTTTTTATTCAATAGTAGACAAAAAATTTAAAAATATTTCAGCGTTTTAATTTTTAACTTCCATCTTATTGTTAATTTCCTGTTTTTTGAAGTCATATTTCACTTAGCAAAGATATTACATTACTCCTTATAACTGTCATATGTCTTCAGTTTTCCAAAATCCAGTAGACCATCAACCTCATGGTTGTGTATGCATTGTCTCATAGACGAGAAAAACGGGTAATCAGGCACAATGAAATGTTTTGAAATAGTTATGAAAGTTACTGTTTTTTTTAATATAATAGGAAATGTAATATATTTACAAAGTCATAGTAAATGAACAGGTTGATAAAAAAAATGATTATGCTAACATTTGTGTAAATTTTTCGTCTACATAAACTAACAACATAATAATATGTTTCTATTTGGAAAAAAAAAGTCCAGACTTGTTTTACGTATAAGGTATAACGGTAAAAGAGTCCATGCATTGGAAAATATACTGAAATATTATGTACATGCACGTATGAGAAAAATATAATTTTCAATATTTTTTTATTTTCCAAGAAAATGAGTGTTTGAAACCATATGGATTGACCTGTAACATATTATAATACAGTAGATTAATAGTAAGTCTAATAAGCGGATCCTAATGATGTATTACTAGTGGACTAAAACCAAAACCGCTTTACTGCGTTCGCATATTTGGAATTTGTAGTGATAATCTTGATTTGACCTACATTTGATAAATTTGTACAGAATCTATTATTATACTACTATTTTTTTTACAGTATTTACTATTATCATTGATTCTTAAAACTTTAAACTTTTTGTAATTTACATATTTTGTTATTTTAAAATTTGGACCAAAAAGAACCTATAGTCCAACGTGAGAAAATAAATATATCCTACTAAAAAGTAACCTAAATATCAACGTGATTCATATCTAATACTCACCATGCCTAATATGCCCTCCCCCGCCTTTACTCTGGCGTTTGTTTTGTGGTTTTAAAGATCAAAACACATGGTTTTTGTAAAATCAATAATAGGTTAGTAAAACGTTTAAACTCCGCTTAGGAAAAATGTAAATATGTTAGTCAAAACGAAAATGACTATATTGCTTATGTTAATAAATTAGCAAAAACAAATTTGAAAAACATATTTACATTGCATTGTTTCGGTCGACAAAACAGATTTTGTTCGACAAGTTGTAAGAAACCCATTGAAACAGTCGGTTCGACTATCATTGCAGTTGTTTAAGTAAGTAATACTTCAAAAACTTCAAAAGTTGTAAGTACCTTTCAAAAGAGATGGATGCATTTAAAAGATATTTTAAAACTAAACACCATTTTCTAAAAAACAAATCCTGCGAGGGAGTGCGGGATTCTTAAAATTTGGATTATTATTTTATGTATAGGGGCATGCTTGATAAAAATTTTATTACAATTTTGACTCAATTCGACAGTTTTCCGCTATGTTATAATTAGTTAACGTTGAAAGTTGAAAAACTGACAATTTTTCTGTAGGTTATTTCGGTTCTGGGTTCACGAAGTTGACTTTATTTTAAATACGTGTTCTTGGTGCCTAATTTTAATTTTTGAATTGGTGTTTTTTAAACACAATTTAAGTTCAAGATTTTTGTATCTCGCATTTTTACTTTATGAAATAAAAAATATTCGTATGGCGTATTTATCAAGAACATTTTTGAAAAATTATCGGTTATATGCAGAAGTTTATATGCATTATATGCAAGGTATATGCATTTTTTCGAAACAAATTTAGACTAAATATAAAAATGTAAGCATATGCCAATGTTGATTTTTTTTTTAGTATCAATTATTTTTTATTAATAAAACATGTCTAAAAAAAAACTTATCACATGGTCATGTATCGAAGAAAAACAATACCGGTTTACGCTCTTACGCAGCCATATTAAAAAGCTAAAAGCTATCGTGTAAACAAATTTAAACAGACATTATTATTTTTTAGACCAAGTTATATTTTTTTCAGACAAACAGCGTGCATTAACAATCATTTTGAGCAAAACTGATACTTAAATATTTTTTAATAAATATTTAGTATTACAATATATACTTAGCCCAAGATGAGGGTTTTATAGCAAAATAATCTTTTATATAATCAAAACACGACTTTATGTTTTGTAATTTATTTACTTGATTTATCCCCCGAAAAATATGGCAGGTCTACTTGATATACGACAGTTATGTCTAGTCGAAAAACATAAAATAAAATGTAAAACCAAAACCTTCTCATCTCGACCACTCCGGAAGCGGCTGAGCCTTTTATAAATTGCATTTATGTTTATTAATTTTTCCAGATAAAAATGAAAATTTTCTGTATTTTATTATCATTAATCTGCGTAAATGTTTTGGCAGATATAAGTATAAGTATATATTTTCATACTTCCACACAACGTAGTTAAAAATCTAAAAAAAAATAATCTTTAACTTTTTTTACAGCAGAATATATAAAGACCGTTGAAAATACAAGTAAGTAATATTTTTGAAAATCATACAGACTAACCTTGTGAGTTTTTTAATTTTACTATATTTATATATACCTATTTTTTAAAAATATTTACTACAGACTTGCAAATGCAGGAAGCTTCTGACTATAACGATGATTCTATAGGAAGTAAGATAATAATTTATATTATACTAACATATAATTATTGTTGTTCAGTGTTTGCCAAATTGTCAAACTATTTTTAAATCAAAATTTAATTTATTTTTATATCTAAGAGAACGCCGCACATGTAATTTAACAGTATAAAAACACGATTTAACTTTCTTGATATAGCGCCTATAAAAGTTGTCTAACAGGAAAGTTACCTATATCACCTGAAAATTAAGAACTTTATCTGTGTCTTTAAGTTAAAATTTTGTAAACATTTTAACCTAACTTTTAATAAATAGTATCCTCTTAAAGTGGTAGTTTTGACATGGATATGTCTTATGACTGGGGGTCATTTTGAAAATAAAGTTAAGAGTATCCTCACTTCGTGCAGATACATCAAGATTAAGGATGTATAAAGATATGAAAATATATAACAATAGTCAAATGAACTTGTTAGGTAGGCA